ACGCTGGCTGATGAGGCGAAGGTAGGTATCAAGCTGAAGCGAATCTGGACGTCGACGTTGACGCTGTCGAGATAGCTCTCGACGATGGGAATGAGTCCGGGGAAACCATCATCATGACAGCCATTGATGATTTCGTCGACCGTCATTTCCGTGTACTCATCCTCGACGGCACCCACCGGCGTGGCAGGCCGGCTCGGCGCTCGACTTGGAGCACGTGATCCCGGACGCGAACCGGGTCGAGAGGACGCTTCACCTTCGCCATTCAGACCGCGGGCGCGACGCGCGGGAAACGGGTTGCGACGGAAGCAGAACCGCTCCTTGAGAACAGCGTCGACGGCGTGGGCGCGTTCCATATTCTCATCCACCCGGGTAATGGGTATGTAGAAGTTGAGGTCAAAGGATAGTATGGCGCGGGTTACCAGCACCATGAAGACGGAAAAAGCTGCGTTCTCAAAGTCAGTCACCTGGATCTCCATGGGCCGGAACTCGACACGCCAGCCGATACTGTTGTCGGCGGGTGGCGGTTTGAAACGCATGTGCTGCCAATTCGTGGATTGCAGGTTCTCAAAGTGATCCGTCTTGTTAAGATCAAGCTCTTCGAGGTCCTCTTGGAAGATGACGATGGGGTCGCGTATGAACAGGTGTGCAAAGTGGGTGGCGAGAAGGTCGTCCATGCCGCCTTCGAGGAGCTGGGCCTTGATGTCCTCGTCAACAACGAGGTTCGGGTCCATGTATTCGGGACGCAAGCGGGGGTCTGTAGATATGTAGGTCGAGTTCGAGGCGAAGCGAGACTTGGTGATGCGCCAGCGGTCATTTTCCAAAGGCCTCTCACCGAGCTCCTCAGGCGTGCGGTCGTCAACGGCACGACTGATCTGGTTCCAGCGAACGTCGGTGGCGGCAAGGAAGCCCTTGTAGATGGGGGTAGCAGCAGTGAGCGCAAGCATGATGGGACCGAGCGGGCTTAGCTGATCATACATCTTGCGACCCTCGGTAATGTTCTTGGCCTGAAAGGTGATCTGGAGACAGCAGCTGCCCATGCCGAAGGCCATGGCGTCCATGTGGATGAAGTCGTCGGGGGCCGCACCACCGGTACGTACGTCCTCGTCCTCAGGCCAGAGATGGAGATCTCGGTTTACAGTCGGGTCTTTCCAGGGAATGGGAGTATCGCGATCGTGGAAGACCGGGACGTTGACCTGGACCTTCCTTCCGCGCCGCCAGCGAATGTTGGCGGCGAGCGTAGGGAAGCGTATGTGTGGGTTGGCGATCTCGTCAGGAACAAACTGGGAGCGCAAGCGGGGGCCGGACGGGGGGTAATGGGGTGCTGTGAAGTCACCGGGGCACCCAATACGGGGAAAGGTGGTCAGGGTGATTGGGTACTCGTCGGGACGCATGTGGTCCTTGGCAATGCGGCGACGGAGCTTCATGTCGGGTGGACGCCGAGGAGCTCGCGAAAGTCTATGCCCCAGGGCTTGCCGGGGGTGGCCTCGAGCATGAAGCGGCCAAACTCGGGGTGGAAGACGGGCAGGGTAGGCTTTGCGCTGCCAGCGGCGGAAGCGCCGTTTGAGGCTCCGGGGTCGTTCGAGGCGACGCGACGGCGCTTGGCGGCGGGCTCGTCGCCGTTGGCGGCCGCCGCATCAGCGCCATGATCATCCTGAAGTTCAGGCACGCCGCCGCCGCCTTCGGCGAGCTCGGGGCTCGCGGCGAGGGCGGTCAGAATCTCGGCCTGCCGCAGGGACAGACGGACTTTGGGGTCGTCCTGGGTGTAGGTCACGACGAGGTACTCGACCTCGTCGCCCCAGAGCATGGCATCGCGCTCTTTACCCTTGGCTTTGTTCCAGATTTCGAGAAGTTGCTGGGATGGTCAACATGTGTAACAAGATGAAGGGTGGCTGAAGGAATAGCAGACCTTGATGCCCCACTCGCGGACCTGCTGGGCGTTCTTCTTCGCGTCAGGCCAGTCGAGGGCCGTGCCAAGAGCGCTGGGCGTGTGAGTTGGGATAGAGGGCTGGGAGAGGGGAGGGGTCATATTTCTCACAGGAGGCCCATGATGGAGAGGAATTGGAGTGAGAACTGCGTGAGGTGTTTGCCAAGGAGGTGGCTTTAAGGCGAGACGGCGCCGTGAGCAGGAGGATGAACGGGAGTGCCGATCAAAGCCGAGGTGGGCGACTGAATCCAGCAGTTATCGGAGCCGCAGCAGCGGGCGAATGACGGACGATACAGACCGAACGACGGCCGGGTTGTGGTGGGAGCTGAGCGACGAAGCAGAGCCGTCTACCTTCTGGTGTAACTCGTTGAGGGAGCGCGAACCGGGTGCCAGCTCGGATATGTTTCGACGCCGAAACAAGGAAGGGTGGGTGTGGTGAGGTTGGAGCAAGGACGTGACGGTGGATGGCGCAATCGATGAAAATGGGCGGGTTTGTTACCCCTCCTGCGGCTCAGATTCGACGGCGGTTCATCATTGACAGGCGCGTGGGGGGGAGGATGGTGGCGGCGATCAATGACACGAGCAGGTCTCTGCACTGGTTGCACGACGATGGTCTCGTGGGGGAAAGTTGCCAGGCAAAAGGTTGATGGAGAGCGTTGTTTGTCTGGGTTGCGGAGATGGGATTGAAGATTTCTGCTTCCGGCCGTGGGCCCAGTGGCTCAATGATGACTTGGTAGCCTTGAGTTACTTTCAGGGTAAGGCAAAGCCAGTCAGGTAGGTTCCCGCAGAGAGAAAGAGCTACGAACGTGGGGTGAGCAGCAAGCGGCAGGTGGGGTCAGAGAAAAGGCGTCGAAGAGATGGGGGTTTTCCGCTGCTCTCCCTCTCTCTCTCTCTCTCTCTGCTTAGCAATCACGGCACGGCAATCGGCTGATGAAGAACAGGACGCCCGATCAGTAAGCAACTGTGCGCCCTTGGCTGGACCCGTTTTGCTGTCTGCCGAGACTTGGGCCGATGCGGTTCTGCTTGACAGCATGAGCGAGAAGGCAGGCTGTTCAGCAACATTGGTCTACTGCGAGTAGTGCTTTGGGTCGGGATACATCACCAGGCGCAAGGAAACAAGGCAAAGGCAGGACGAAACAAAGACGAGGGAAAGGCAAGGCGAAGCAAAACCACAATCGAAGAAGCGGGGCCCGGGCCCATCCGAGAGAAGCCGGATCCGGAGCAGAGTCACCGGATGCCGCCGCCACCGTCATGACTGTCGGATGCATATTCAACCACTGTGACGGACTGCAGGAAGCGATGATGTGGAAACGAAATGATGAATTCACGACGGGGGCCGCGCGATACGCTGTCTTCCAGCTTACGATCCCGGCTGCCCTGGCTCTTCGTACTTGACGTCGCCCTTGCTCACGTCGGGGTACACATCGAACCGCCTCTGTGTTGTCAAGGGAATGTTCTTCCGCACCTCCTCAATCTTGGCGCCGTCAAGCTCCCACACGACCGTCGACTCCTTCTCGTCCGTCTCGGCCACGACCTGGGCCAGCGGGTCGACGATCATGCTGTGACCCCACGCCTGGTATGGCCCGTCCGGGTCCCGCGCGGGGCTGCACATGGCGACGTAGATCTGGTTGTCGAGCGCCCGGCCCTGCGCCAGCAGCTTCCAGTGCATCGGCCCCGTCGTCAGGTTAAAGGCACCCGGGTACACGAGAGCGAAGCACCCCCGGCGCGCCGCGACGGTCGCCATCTCGGGGAACCGCACGTCGTAGCAGATGGCCACGGCCACCTTGCCGTACTCGGGCAGGTCGACAATTGTCACCTTGTTGCCGGGACTCAGCACGTCCGACTCGCGGAACGTGATCTTGCCGGGAATGTCAATGTCGAAGAGGTGCGTCTTGCGATGCGTCGCCAGCAGCCCTCCGTCGGGGCCAAACGTCAGACTCGTGTTGTAGTACCGCTTGACGACGCCGTCGGGCCCCTGTTCCTCGACGAGCTCTGGGATCGAACCGCCGATGAGGTAGGTCTTTGTCTCGGCGGCCATGGCGGCGAGCGCATGAAACGAGGGCGACTGCTCCTTCGGCGGCGGCGACGGCAGCAGCGCCTCGGCATAGCGCGGGAAAAAGTCGCAGCCGTAGAGCGAGTTGAAGCACTCGGGAAGCACGATGATCTTGGCGCCATCGGCGGCGGCGGCCCGCACGCGCGAGGCGGCGAGGTCGAGGTTCGCCTGCTTGTCAGCGCCCGCGGCGATTTGCACGCACGCCAGCTTGACGGGCTTCTTGAGGATCGACGAGGCCATTTTTGATCTATTGGTGGTGCTGCTGCTAAGCCTGGTGCTGAGGAGGCTGCCTAGTCGCGGCGTGCTGAGGAAGTTTTGGGCCGGATTTTGATACGATCTTGTCAATGCTGTCAACGTTCGGAGGGCCGTTCTCATGATGTTTTTCTTTGGTATACTATGGGAAATGGAACTAGTGTATGGCGTGGAGGAAGGGTACGTGAGGCGTGATATATCAGGTGGTGAGAGCGACAGTGACGAGTTGGAGTAGTGACTGTGTGTGGTGGAGGGGGTTCCGACGCTGGCCGACGTCGGCAGGGAGGGTGCACCGGTGGGGTTGCGCCTTGTAAGACTCCAACTTGGGGTTCCTTGGGGGGTCTGTGGCCGTTGTACTCCAACGGGCCTGTCCCGTGTATTTTGGAGGTGACGCCTTTCTTGTCATCTGGCATCGGTCACGGTCCGAGATGGCATTGATCCGGTTTTGCTGCGAAACGTCTCTAAGTCAAGCCGGACCTCGCTGGGCTGGATCAAGATACTGGACATTTCTCGGTAGTCAATGCCGACTTGGTGTAGTCCGACCCGCGTGTGAGATTGCTGACTCGGGAAAACTAGCTGATGGATGCATCGACAGAGGCACAGACAGCTCGGACACATCCACTCTGGCTCGGCCTTCACATGTCTGGGAGATCAACACGTGACCGTATAGAGCACGTGACTTGACGCGGCGGATGCGGGGATCCCGCAAAATGGTGGCCTGTGGTCCGTGCATTGCCACTTCTTTGCCTCCTCGTGCTCACGGCCGCGTCCAATGGGGAGCCGCGAGCCCGTGCTGATGGGGGACCGAGGTTCACATGCGACAGGAATCGTCACCACCTGTTGTTGCATTCGACTCCGGCCGCCGTATCAACCCTCAATATAACATCTGTCCTCCGCATTTCCCCAGACTCGGCTTGCTTCCTTTTTTATTCTGCTCTGCTTGACTCCCTATCGACTCCTA